TGCAATGATCTGATATTAATTTATCTTGATTTTCTATATTCTTACATTACTACCAAAACATTGATAATCCAACTTTCTCTAATCAATAAATCCATTTTTTTAAATTCCGTTGATCCATAAAACGATATTGGAATTTTAAATATTGTTCAGACGATCTCAGTTCTCTAAACTTTTACCAAATCAGACCTTGAAAGCCAAGAACTACTTTGGTAATGCAAAACATTATATTACCACCACTACTTAAAAAAAAAAATACTTTCAAATTCTAATATTCACTGTATACACGGTCCAGGAGATAATCAAGTTAGATAGTTATTGTGTGGTGTTGTATGAGCGTAAGAAAAATCAAGAAGTGAACTTCATGAGGTTAGGTAGAAAAAAAAATGTTTAGCCCTAGACTGGAAGAAGGCAAGATTGTATTGACTTTAAAAAACATCCTGTCGAGAGTCTGTTCCATAAAGCAACTGGGAGTCTCTTCCACAAAGGAGCTGTTTGAATGGAACTTAGTTCTCAGTTATGGAATAAGAAGGCAATGAGGATGATTCATCTCTGTGTAAGTGGCATGGCAGGGGCCAGTTGCAAAGATTAATTCAGTGCGAACAAAATAATGTAGATCCTCAGAATACATGCCATGGAAACAGTAATATGAGTAGCAAGAGACCCACGGCGTTTCTTCTGTGGTAAAGGGTGGAAAAGAATCTAGTAAAAGACAGTAAAATACGAAAAGGTAACTGGAAAGTGTAACACCAGTTAGTACAGAAGATTTGCTCAGTAGGTCTAGCATGGAGATAGATACCACATGGCTGATTTTGAGAAAGATAGAAAGGATAATCTAACATTTACTCACCTGACGTTAGATAATTTTAAGGATTTATCTAGCCATTTCAACTATAAAACGATGGTACCTAGCTACCAATCTAGTACTGCGCTTAAATTCGTAAAGTCGAGGTACGAAAGAGAAAAGCTTATCAGAACCTTTATCACGGAAAAAGTATCTTTAAGTGTTCTTCTGGTTGTTGAAATCCTTATTTAGAAAAAATTCCCTGGCACTCTAAAGAGTACAGAAGCGACGCCATAGTGCTGGCAGTTGCAGGAATTATGTAAATATTATTCGCGCAGTGGAGCCAAATAAAAATAAAACCAAAGTGCATATACATTTTTATGTCAATTATGTATATAGTTATTGCTATTTTCCTGCAATATTCAATGGATCTTCACTTTTTACATGTAACTGACAGCGTTTCAAGGACTGATTATGTAATACAAAATTCGAGAGTGCGAAGATGCGCAGATGTGAACGAAATGTATGACAATTTTTTAAAGTTTACTGTTTTATCATTTACTGATCTAATAATGTTTATTATTATTCATGAGAAGAATATATCATAAGAATATTTTCTCAGAGTCTGTCTATATTTCAGAGATGAGGTATTATGTACATTATTTACATTATTCGGACAATTGTCTCACCTTTGTCGCCATATTTATTACAGCGTTTCGGCCGGTGTACGCTCCGGCCTTCTTCAGTTGGTTGGAATGTCGAACTGAACCCTTTATTTCGCTCACTGGGGTAGACTGTTCTAATGGATGTCAGTTATCAGTTATCTCCTGTTAATTTTCCCTCTGAAAGTTCTCCACTGCCTTAAACGGGTATTGAATTCACACTCTTTGGGCCCTGTCACTGGATCTAACCAACGTTTTTATCCACTGTGCCATGTGTCTATTTAATTTATTTATTTTATTAATTAATATTTTATATCTATATATATATTAATGTATATTTTTATTTTTTATTTTTATTTAACATATTTTATTTTACTTTAACTTATTTTATTCTATTTTATTGATGTCAAATATTATTATTATTATTATTATTATTATTATTACCTTCAATTTGAAACTGTGATGTTTATAATGCGATGAAGATAATGTTTTCGCTGTCAAAAATAACATAACAATTCAATGTATCTACTTTAAATCTGATCGTTCCCCTCTGTCACACTGTTTTTCAATTTGTCCAGTACTTAATGAAAAAAATCATTTTTCGGTCACCCTATAGATTCATGTTAAATTCTTCCTTCTTTACATTTGTACCCTCCTTCTCTCCTTCCATTTTCCGTTCCCCACTTTCTCCTTTCCCCCACAATTTTTTTTTTCAAAACCTTATATTTAATTTATTTATTTTAAATCCTTATAAATGGGGAATGTCATTTATACCCCTTAAGTTTAATTTTTCTTTCTTCCTCTTTTAATATTAAAACGTTTTCCTTTTCTTTTTTTCCGCACCCTTTTCCTTCCTTCTAGATAAATTGACTCAATTTATTAAGAAAAACTCGGTCTGAAGAGATGAAGATATTTCTGTATATTCCTGAAATAAATTATAACCGACTTGATTTATAAGGATCGTCTGTACTGATACACACACACACACAAAACACACACACATATATATATATATATATATATATATATATATATATATATATATATGGAATATTATATTAATATAGTTTTTTTTTTAGTACGCAATATTTAGGGATACATTTTTCAATATCAAGAATAAAGCCTGAATACTGAGGTCAACACCAAGCTTGGAAGCAATCTTGAATCAAGTCACAAGGCCTCGATCAAGCATGAACTATACTACTGGTGCACGCTCCACCTGTCTGTCTGTCTGTCTGTCTCTCTGGATATATATATATATATATATATATATATATATATATATATATATATATATATATATATATATATATATATATATAAATTCATTCCGATATAAACCTCAACAGGAAAATAGAGAAGCACTGGACGGCCGTTTCGTCCTATAATTGGGACTCATCAGGAGTGCGCATCCTCCACCAGTAGGTATGTTGTCTGCTTGACAACCCAACTGTCAGGGTTTCGATAGCTGGTGGTGGATGCGCACTGCTGATGTGTCCCAATTATAGGACGAAACGGCCGTCCAGTGCTTCCTCTATTTTCCTGTTGAGGTTTATATCAGACTCAATGAATTTATTTATATGTTTATCAAATCCTCCTACTTATTATATGTGTTTATCGTTGCTTGATCCGGCTTCTAATGCTCCAGTTGGCGCGGCTTGGTGAGAGTAGTCGTGGCTCCCGGGGGCACAGTCTTATGGTTATATAGCGAACTCAGGAGAGTTCCGCCACGGAATATGTGAGTGAGCGGTGCTATGTTGAGTCTGATATGAATCTCTTCGGTGTCGAGGCCCGGTTGGTACAGTTGGTATGTTGTCTGCTTGACAACCCAACTGTCAGGGTTTCGATAGCTGGTGGTGGATGCGCACTGCTGATGAGTCCCAATTATAGGACGAAACGGCCGTCCAGTGCTTCCTCTATTTTCCTGTTGAGGTTTATATCGGACTCAATGAATTTATTTATATGTTTATCAAATCCTCTCCTACTTATTATATATATATATATATATATATATATATATATATATATATATATATGTAATTTCGATTATAGGTGAGGTTCAACTTATAATTACATGAATCATTCATACAAAAACAAATATAGAAGTTAATGATTAAATGGCTAGAATACATCTTCGCAAACAATTTCAATAAGTTACACTAACAACATTGTGTGACATTTCTGTAATTATTGAACAATACAGTTCATGACACATTGACGGAAAACTTAGCAGTACAAAAGAATTCTCTTATTACTATATTAGTATAAAACGCACAACCTTAAAATTGAAAATTCAAACTCAGCGTCGGGACCGCACGTTCTAAAACAATAACACATTTCTCATAGCATTTTTTCGGATTACATCTATATTTTCGTTGTCCTCTTATAACCGAGAAGTAAAAAACAAGAACAAATCTATTTCCATACCTGAGAATGTCTGTAGGAACAGACGAAAGCTTGTAAAAATTTAAAAAGACTTTATGAAACTGAAATTTATATACAGGATCATATCATTCATATACAGGTTCGTGGTTAGTATAACTTATTGAAATTGTTTGCGAAGATGTATTCTCGCCATTTAAATCATTAACCTCTATATTTGTTTTTGTATGAATGATTCATGTAATTATATATATACAACTCACTAGTAGACCAAAAAATTGTTTCATGCTCGATGGACAATATATATTCATTAGCAATAAATTTATACATAGACCATTATTCCATTAGCAGCAATACTCAATTTGTGATATTTTATGTTTATTTTGTCTTGGCGACGTTAAAATTCGCAAACTACATTTTTCTTCGGTTTACCATTCATTGGAAGTTATTTTCGAGAGCAGTTACAAGTTTTACTTTGTCCGTCACTTGGGTATGTTACTAAGACAGTATTAAATAGTCTCTCATCTGCAATGGTATCTAGTTAGGAACTGATAAAATCTGATTAGTCGTTGATATAAACCAAAAAAATGATGGGTTTAAGCATAGTGCCTTAGGTCTCCTGAGCATTAATATGAAATAGACTTACATTACACGATTTTTAGGAATGATTGAATTTGAAAAAATATTCACCCACAGAGAATTTGAGCTTGTGATTCTAAAACCAGAACGGTTTGAAAATCTTTCGGCACTCTATCTGGCATGTTTTGAAATGTTGATTGAAAAGAAACTGTCAGTGATCAGAAACTTATCGCAGGATTATTCCAGGACTATTGGGGATATAGGAATTATATACAAAGATCAGTTTAATCTATGATACTGCTACTACACTACGTCATCTGTTGCGGATTTAGTAAATAAATAATAGATTGATTACTAACACTCGACGACTGGTGCATGGGGCATTTTCCATAAATATACTATTATTAAATTAACATCAAAGATTGTAACACGGCTTCAACATTTTTAAATGACATATATTAATATTTATCGGATAGAGACTCGTACATCCTAAAGTTCCATCGCCCTGTTCACTGTCAGACTTAGCTCTTATTAATTTTGACATCTGCATTACGGCTAATATAAACCCGGACATACTTCCGGTTGTTTGGTCAAACCTAAAGAACACTTATGACGCGAGAAAGATGACAAGAAATTAGCAGTAAAAATAAGATGAACTGAGCACTGACCTTTCACTATGACGCAAAAGAACACTGGATGGACATCGTGATTGGAATCTTTCATATCGAATTTCGAAAAGCCAGATCATTCACTATAATTAAATCAGCTATGTCTTCGATATCTATGAGGTCAGGACTGACCAGCGCGTATAGATTATTCATGTCTTTCGATGCAACACCTCCCTGCGGTGTCTCTGTCCAGCATACAGGTCCAAGCACTTCTAAGCCCGGCTCAGAATTTCTAACGTTATGGTGTAATAAAATAAAACCGCAAAATATCCCGATGAATGGAAGAATTCGTTTATAGATTACTAATAGGTTATAATAAAAGTGCACCGAATAAACTGGAATGGATCAATAATATAAGATAATGCATTTCAGATATATCGAGATGTTATGGTGTCTGAAGTAAAATCTTGTGCAGATTGGTGTGCATATGTTTTCATTGAATATGTGGTGTGACAATGTTTTTAACGACACGGAAAATAAAAACCTGAAATCGAGATCCAATTTGTGCTTAAGTTTAATTTAGACTAATGTTAATAATATATGTTTTCCTTATAAGAAAACATTCGTCATTCATTGTGCGAGAAACTAGTACTTCTGCAGGTGTGCGTTATGTAGAGATGTTTATTTAGCATGTGGTGTGATACTGCTTTTAGAGATACGGTAATTAAAAACCTGAAATCTAGATCCAATTTTTGCTTAAGTTTAATTTTTTGCGGGCCAGTGTATGCGTTAAGAGATAAAAGCTTGTGTCCTGACATGCGCACAACAAACATGGCAGACTCAGGATGTGAGTCCACGTAAATAAATGAAAAAAACGATAGGAACCACTATATAAGCACAACAAATATATTAACAACAAAGCTATACAAGCGACAAGACAATAATGTGTGTAACAAATGAATGTGGAAACTGTTTTGTTCCAAAGCATCTGTAGTGAGTGAATGTGTGTGGGTGGGTGTGTATTGTTCATACGTTTCTCAGAGAGATCGCGTTCTCCGTGCGAGATTATATGCTGAAGAATAAGTTGATAAGGTGAGAAGTGAGCGAGAAAATATATCGCCGAATATTTATAGTCCGGAGAGCGTCTCCTTGCAGCGGTTTCGAAAATTAGGAGATGGAAACCCGACAATTTAGACTAATATTAATGATGAAATTATCTATTTCCTTATAAGGAAATTGTTATGTTGCTGGGTTCATTCTTATCTACGTCTACTTAGAACAAACACTTCAGTAGATGCTTTATACATTTTATTTATAACTGGGCAACAATAAAAAGTAAAACATGACCAGTGATTACTGGTAGATTGAAGTTCGATATGTGACATATGAGGATGTGTGACTGCAATCATGAAATCCCCTTTGTTATCTGTAGTCCTAGAGAGTTCTGATCAAGGGGCATAAATCGGTTCCCATTTAGAGATTGTGTTAGCTCCCTTGCTATGACGTCCATCCTAACAGATATATTCTGAATTCACTGACCGAGCAACTGGTAATACTGTCGTTTGAAATTTATAAATTCTTTTTCTTAAAACAATTTTCCAGGAAAATAATTTTCTCCAGTCCAGTAGCTGTTATTGCTCTTTCCATTATTGATAGGGGTTTCTTTCCTAACCTTTTATTTGAACTAGTGGGGAAGGTCAACAGCTTGATTATATTATTGTTTTCACTTCGAATTACATGTGCTGTCCATCTAACTGTCGCCGCTGTTGAAAGCCCTCAAGTGATGTGATATCTGTTAGTCTTCGTTTCTCATTGTGTAGTGCCAGTCCACAAATGTCGTTGTAATGTCACTACGTAGTTGAGAACATGACCAGCTCCCATCATATGCCTCAGATGAGTGCCAGCGTTTGAGACTCTGTAAATTGTCTTGGAAAATTCTGCTTGTAACATTAAAAAATTAGCAGACGTACAGAAATACAAAGCAGGCTATAAGATACACTTAAAATATTTTCATTTAAAATTCCATTTGGTGAATTTGATGCGTAGTTTAACATTTATTAAGATTAACATATCTATGCTCAGAGATATGTAAAGAAACACCATGTGGGTATCATTCCCACTGATCCTGATAGGTGGACAATCCTGGATATGACGATCAACTATATCCGCGTCCTGGGTATTACGATAAACTATGTCCAACAGCAAGGCCTCTGATCAGGAGGTTTTGAAGAGCGTGGAACCACCTCTTAATTGCTGGTGTTCCCAGGGCCACCCTGACCCGAGGTGGTAGCACCTGTTAGGGTCCCAGCTATGGGCAAATAGTTAACCACCAGTTAAACTGGGGTTAAAACACTGAAAGTATAAAAATAGATTTTTATACCAGAGATAATTTTTGTAAAAACATTATTGCCAGCAATACATTTTTGAAGAAAAAAAATACTACAATAATTATATTTATGAAGGAAAAAAAATATTACCAGCAACAAAGATTTTGTCGGCATTAAATAACCCATTGAGGTTGATATGCCAGAAAACAAGCGAAACCAAACTATCTGATACGTGGATGGAGGTTGTTAAGCATTACATCTCGAGGATGCAAACAAATTTGCTGCGTTGTTTGGCGAAATTGAATTTTTTTTTGTGTGTGTGTGAAATCGAGTGTGTAATTAAAATAATATCATAATGAGAGTATATGTAAAGGTCTATTGTGATTTACTTTCCATTGAGCTCGTTATAGACAAACAGACAACTTACCATACATTTAAGAGGTTGACATATTGTCATAGATGCTGAATCCCAGATTTTTTCAGCAAAGAACTCAAATAATTCTATTCATAGTAAGCGTTTATTTCTCATACTAATGGTATTGTATCTAATTCAAACTGGATTATAACGTTGACGAGAAAAATAATTTTAAAATCACAAGTCCAGAAAGATAGTGGTGTATGCGAAACAGTTACAATTTTAAATCAAACTGCATGTTTTCTTAAACACATGAAACGATATAAATACGATTTCTTTGGACAATATGCGTTTCTTCTATTTGCCATTTTCTGAGTCGTATTTCAAGCAAAAAATAAATTCTCTTAACAGATGTAAATCTTTTTTGAAACATACCGCCTATATGCTTCCATTTCCATGCACTCTCCGAATTATGCATCTCAGAACTTAGCTTAAAGTGATACATCAAAATGTCCAGATTCTCAATATTGTATCGACGTTTATACCATCTAAATCTAAATTTACAACAGCATACTACGACCTCTACTACAGTTACTAGTAATAGTACTAATACTACTATTAATAATGATAATAAGTACTCTGATGCTACACCAGGTATGTCACTCTCATATATATATATATATATATATATATATATATATATATATATATATATATATTTGCTCTGTCTTTTGACATAAAGCTCTCATTGTATCTATATCCTTTTGAAATTCCATACGGATTAACAATAATTATATATATATATATATATATATATATATATATATATATATATATATATATATATATATATATATATATATATATATATATATATATATATATATATATATATATATATATATATATATACCCATATATATATATATATATATATATATATATATATATATATATATATATATATATATATATATATAATTCACTTGGCGAATTTTGCAAGTATCTTGAATACCTCAGCATTGCCAGAGTCTCATAATTGGATCTGCCATTTTTTTACAATGATATTCACCTTGTATAAGAGCTACTCAAGGTAGAGGATTACAGAAGAAGAGGCATATTTTATGGTGATATGTGGGGGAGTGTGAGGAACATCTAAAGAGAAACTTAAAACAGATTTCTACTACTACTATTATTACTACTAATGCTAATACTAATACTAATAATAGTAATGATAATAATAATAATAATAATAATAATAATAATGATGATGTGTCCAGATGATGGAGAAGCTACAGCTACCATGCTTTCTGGTCTTAATTTATAAGTATTATTATAATTTATCGAAATCGTTTTGGCGGATTACGATAGTCTAGATAATCTATATATACAGAGACTTGAATGGACGCTCCGTTTATCTCTATCTCCTGCCAAGTGGGACGCAGTTTCGAATCCTGCCAGAGAGCACATTTTTCTTTTCAATAAATGCTTTGGCTAAATGAATAGTCACGGAATAAAAAAAAAGTAGTGTTCGCAGATCAATAGTATTATAACAGAGGAATGGTAGTCAATTTGATAGTGTGTGACGGTTCACTATTTCTCCTGGTTCCTTCGAGTCTTTATCTACAAAGAGTCTTATACATAGTGGAAGAGTCCAAGATCGAATCACTGTAGGTAGTACACGACAACAATAAGATTATTCGAATACTCATTCCGGCAAAGGAAAATAAATATAATGTTTAATCAAAAAATATGAGTATCAACTTAAACCTTTAAATCCATTATCTCTTTAGAAATTGATTTGTTTTATTTTCTATAAGAATTCTGAGCAGATATAGACTTTCGAGAATCTGTGAAAGATTTGCACTTATAAGGCAATGTTCGGTCTTCTTTGGTCAACGACAGCCTCCGTTGCCGATTCGGTCTAAAGCACGTCAGATTTAACAAAGGTTTCTCCTGCAAAATGCATAAACGAATCCTGCCAGTGAGCGCACTTTTTTTTAAAGAGTTCTTGAATATTCAGGCAGCTAGACGAAGCTAAATAGACATATTGTTTAATACATAAACGCAGCTTCTATTTAAATACGAATATCCACTTAAAAATAACATTTAAAATGATAAAGTCTCATAAGAGTAGCATATCGAGATTTAGATCGTGGATCTAACCATTAAGCGATATAATCAGTTTGTATTTTGTTAGGTGAGAAAGAATGCTGGTCGTACTGCTAATACTAATGTAACCTTTGTTGTCTTCATCGTGAAACACAGCATTCGCACTTGATGCAAATAAGAAGATACTGAAATTAAACATAAAAAAATAGAAGAGAAATGGAAGTGAAAACATTTCATGCCAAGAATAGATTAATTAACTCGGTATTAATTTGGATTAATTCAATTAATTCAGCTCAACCAGCTGCGAAAATGACACGGAGCATGCGTGTCGTGTTATCAGCAGGTTGCGTTGTTTGAAATGCAAAAAAATATAATCGATTTCCACAGAAATAAAATTGATCTCACAATTAAGCAGAGATATAAAATAAATAAAAAAATGTCTTTTTGAAAGTAAAATAACTCTACTTGATAATCATTCCTGATACTAGCCTCGTAGTAAATCAAACATAAAATACATGTAGTAATATACATGGTCCGCCATAGCTTCATGCTTTTAAAGTTGGAATTTCTTTCGGGTTGATTGGTTTGGTCTGGTTTATTTTGTTTTACTGCATATCAGCACCTTAATGTGTTAGTTAATGTCGACAAGATTTTAGGATATGTTCGTATGAATAGAATATGTATTCTTTGTAAGAAATTTGTTTGTAGAGCAGGGTTTGATTTTATTTTGTTTTTTTCTGCATATCAACACCTCTATGGGTTATTTAATGCCGACAAGATGTTTTAAGGTTTGTACTAATAGAATATTCTTTGAAAGAAATCAGTTTGTACATCAGGTTTCATTGACGTATATTTGTAAAGAGGGTTTTTGTCGAGAGTTAAATTGTGGATAATATTTTTAAAAAAATGTATTGCTGGTATTCTTACTATATTTCTTTTTAATCTAACAGTGATTTGACCCCGCTTTGGATGTTATCTATTTGCCCATATCTCAGAGCCTAACAAGTGCTACCACCCCTGGTCAGCGTGGACCTGGTAACTGCAAGATGTGGTTTCACACGCCAGAAAACCTTCCCATTAGAGGCTTTGCTTCCGGATGTAGATTATCGTCATATCAGGACGATCTTCATGTTGAATTCTCCAGAAATCTTCTTTCTGAGTTGCTCTCCTAGAGTGGTTTCCTTCATTTTTATATCCCTTGTCCCTTCAGGACGTGTTCTAATAGGGTTCTACAGAACATTATATAATTGTAGCTATAAGTAAATTTAGTTCAATAACACACTCAATACATTTTTTCTTTCACATATTTACACAAGATCGTGATATAGGTAACTTGCTAATTCCCTTTGCCTTTCTTGACTTCAGTATATCCTGTGGGTTTCAAATTCTCTAAGCCCACTACCCTCATTATCTGTTCAGGTGATTTATATTTCTAATTATATTTAAAAGTGTCATTTAAGTCTTATTTTCTTTAGAAGTTCATCCTTGCACATATCTTCCGTCTACACATAAAACACATTATTTACTATTGAAATACTTTTTTTTCTCAATAGTAGAAGATAATCACGTCTATCGTCCGGTTCACACTCCCGCTCTCTCTCGAGTGGCTCTTGAGCCTTGCACAGGGTGAATATCATTTTGTATCATTGTAGAACTCCACCTCCATTGCTTTAAGTCTCCTCTACGCCTATGATGAAATTCTATAGCATTCACTTATATATAGAATGATTGGTATAACATTGTTCTTTAGCGTTCTTGTCTTAGTTTCTACCAAAATTTTCCTTTTTCTTAATACTTTGTTTAGATTCTAAAAGGAATCTTTCGCTATTCGAACGCGACTTTTACGATGTCTATTTTAACACTATATATTAAGTGAAGTCGAGAGTTAAATTTCGGATAATATTTTTTTAAAAAATGTATTGTTGGTATTATTACAAAAATTTTTTTTAATTTCATAGTGATTTAGGCGTTAACTATTTGCCCATATCTGAGAGCTTAACAGGTGCTACCACCCCTAGTCAGCATGGACCCGGTAACCGCAAGATGTGGTTTCATATGCCAGAAAACGTTTTTAGCAATTAAGTGGTTACCTTAGCAAGAGTAGAGATCCCAGTCTACAGTGTTATTGATTCTTACCTAGGAGAAGCAATAACGGGTTTCTTGCCCTTTTCATGAGTCTTATTTTGAAGTGAACGCAACAGCCTTGGTTTGAAATTGTTGCTGTTGTTGCACATGTCTATTTTCTACCAATTTCCTCTGCAAGCATTTAAGAAAATGTTCAATGCGCCCTTCTAATTACGGTCAGATTATGTCGGATTAATAAGGAAAAAATATTCATTACTTCTTTAGAAATTGTTTTGTTTACTTTTGGATAAGATTGCTGAGCAGATATGGACTTTCGAGAATCTGGGAAGTATTTGCATTAACAAGACACTATTCCGCCTTACTTGATTCTCAGCACCAGGGTTCGGTCCCTGTGCTGGTGGTATCACGGCTACGACTAGCTTGGACCGGCTCTGACCGGCTTCGACCAGCTATGACCAGGCATGATGAGCTGTGACTAGCTTAGACCAGCTCTGACCAGCATGGACCAGCGGCCCGAGTGAAAGCACTAGGGTCCCCACGTTAAAAACTGACCTTGTGTCATAACCTGACTCAGTGGCTTTGTCAAGTAAATCTCACTTGATCATCTGTTGCCGGTTCGGTCTAAGTCACGATGGATTTAACGATATGTATATCAAACGCACGGATTAATTGACGGCGGCTCGGATTGAGGAATCGGAGAGCCGAGTTTGAATTCCAGTTGAATAAATTACGTTGAGAAAGGTATGGATACTCTTCTTCTCCCCCAAGAAATGAGAAAATAGCAGAACATTCTAGGTTCTATAGCCTTGGATGGCATCTGGTCTACAGCAGAAGGAAATGACAACTTACTACGAGAAAAAAATCTGACTCCTCAGTCATGTATCGGAAGATGACCGCCTAAGCGTGTATCACGTATGGCACATAACTGACTGATATCTAAGTATGAGGGTCTGCAAAAAAGGGGATACAGTTACGAATTCTGTTGGCGAGGGCGTTTTTTTTTTTTTAATAGGTGAATATTCAGGCCGGCAGTTGAAACTAAATGCAGTTTACTAAATAAACGGAGCATCTACTCAAATGTTTGTTTACCTCAACTAATAAAGGAAAGAAAATAGATCAAAATGTCACGGCAATTTAATTCAATTAAAAGTCACTTCAACAACTTGACGATAAACACTATTCAACAACCATATTACGTGAACCTATCTTGTTTAAAAGTTTCATCCGTTAAGGGCATAAATAATTCATTTGCTATCTCTAAGCTTTAACATTATTTCTTGTAATTGTCGAATGACGTGCGGAAGTACTCGCAAACCTTCCCTTCTATCAGTATGGCTGATGCTAACCTCCAGGAAAGTAACGTGTTGCACTTTCTCGGATTAACGTTTTTAGTTGACAAGTAGAAAAACTATATAGAATCCCTTTGTTTGGTCAGCTGCTAAAAAAATCGGTTACTGTGTCGTGCGAGACAATCTTCCTCTCCAGAATCTATCTTGCATATATATAAGCCTACCATTTGTCCATGTTTAGAATTTTGCTATCATATATGATCGGATGTGCTTGCTATTTTCCCTGGATCTCTTTGATAAGATCCAAAGAAGAATCAGCAATATTATTGATCCTAATCTGGTGGCTCGGCTTCAGTCATTTGTCGTCCGCCGTAAGATTGCCGCTCTGTGGCTTTTTTATAAATAATTTCATGGTAATTTTTTTCATGGTAAATTTTGGGATGAGTTCTTCGCTATAAAACCTTTACTGTATGAATTTAATCGAAGTACGAGACGGTAATTAATGTATAGTAGAGATGGGAAGATGTAGCCGTAAGTTCTATGCTAACTGTTTTTTTTTCTTGAAAGTCTCGCTTGTGGAACTCACTTCCGGCTCCATGATTTCCAACCAATTTTAATTTACAAAAATTTAAATGCAGTGTCTGTCTCTATCTACCGTTCTCCAGATTACTCTTTTCTTTTTCAGCTCATTACTAATGTTTCTGTCCTTAATTCCTCCACACTCTTTAAACCCTTGCGTTTTAGTGTCTGCACCGCATTACTTGGGGTGATAATGATTAAGAAATACCTTCGCAGGTTGCGAGATATGCTTATGAGGCAAGTTTTTGTTCCTATTTTAGGCATGGGGTGACAGGCATGCCTTCTATGAGTGCATCCAAGTATTTTCCAATGGAACCACGACTGGAATTATTGATATATTCATGTGTTAGATTTAATGATTCTCACCTCAAGATCTTTATAATTTGATAGTTTTATTTACTTCAAAGATAGATGAAAATCTGCAGGAACTGCCAAGTCAGTAAGAGAAGCACATTTTTTTATTACTATGTCTGAGAGATTAATTTTGATTGTTGTCAGTGAGTGTTGTTTATTATTTTAATAATATTAAAATTATTATTTTGGTTTTTCGAATTTATCTCAGCTAAATTATGCATCTTTCTCTATCACTCAGCATCTCTGTTTCTCTCTCCTTCTCTCTCTCTCTCTCTCTCTCTCTCTCTCTCTATCTATCTATCTATCTATCTATATATATATATATATATATATGCAATTTTCACTATTCACATCATTCGGACTATTGTCCGGTGGTTGGAATGTCGAACTGAACCCTTTATTTCGCTCACTGGGGTAGACTGTTCTAGTTCCGCGTGCCATATTGAATGGATGTCAGTTGTCAGTTATCTCTTGTTAATTCCCCTCTCCAAGTTCTCCACTGCCTTAACCGTGTATTGAACTCTCATTCTTTGGGTCCTGTCACTGGATCTAACTAACGCCTTTATCCACTGTGCCATGTTTGTTTGTGAGCGCGCGCGCGCGCGTGTGTGTGATATGATGGCACTACAATTCGAATTCGAAATCTGACAGGTGAGTCATCGTTAGAGTGTCATATATCATATATAAGACGTTTTTGGGAAAATGTATGTCAAAAAGGGTACAAATGTTCCTGTGGTGCGTTTTGTCCCTAAGGAATTCATCAGAATAAGTTTGTTTTGTTGGTGCGACTGCACACGCGGACAAACGAGGGATGCGGGGAATTTAAAATGTACTTATTTTTTTTCTCCTAGGCGATTTCATCTTCTTTATTTTCCATCACTTGTGTTAGTAGATATCCCACATAAATATTTCACTATTCCTGCCAGAACGTCTATTATCACTATGTTGGATATCTGAGCCGTTGTATCTTAGAAATGATTAAAGATATATTACTGGAATTCTGATAGGTTTTTATAACATTATTGGACTCTACCTTGAGCAATAAAATATATAATTACCCTTTAGCTTAACAGAAGAATCGTGATGAAATCGATCATAAACGAAAATGACATGCTCCTCATTAATTAATCATAGCTAAGAATCAGAAGTTCATAAGGCATTGAAATTCAGTTTATATATATATATATATATATATATATATATATATATATATATATATATATATATATATATAAAGTATTCTAGGATCATTCTGCATCTTATTCACGATGTTCGTCGCCCTCTCTAAACCTCTAACTTTCTATCCTAAAGTAACAAGGTGTCTCACCCATTTCACGTAGGATTTCCCTTTCAAGTTATTTTTCACAGCTGTCTGAACTGTCATAGATGAAACTTTTCTCTTACGTGCCAAAAGTCTTATGAATTGCATTGAGTCTTTTCTAATTGATCTCTTTAGCTCTAAGATGAAATGATATTCCCTCTTCCTGCTGTGACCTCCTGATCCAGTTTTTCTTGCCACCGTCCCTCATTTTTTCAAACTTATTCACCCTTCTATTCATGAGTCTTGAATGCACATTGAAGATCGAAACCAGAGTATTAATTTTGTTACCATTACTGAAGGCATGAACGATATTTTCCTCTCACCATTGCTCATAGGATAAGACAGTGGGTTTGACACAAAACAATTTTAACTTTTTCTTTTTCTAGCTTAATAACTGAATGGTTTTTTCCAGTGATTCTTACGACAAATGGTGTCAAGATGGCTAAACGTCTTATCTAAAAACCTGGAAAAAAGTAACTCAATTAGTTTAGTGTTTTTTTTTAGATATTAAACCATTTAGTGAGATGGACATTTATGCTGTTACATACACACACACACACACACACACACACACACACACACACACACACACACACACACACACACACATATATATATATATATATATATATATATATATAATTATTATTATTATTCATCTATCTCGGTTTCCTTTTGCATTTCACTTCTGTATGCTTGCTTTTTGTTTCTCACCGACTGTCCAACCAGAAGGACGTTTCTGTAGGCTTTCTTACTTGCTCTCACGAAACTGTCAACTATAATTTGAATGGTAATATCCTGTTAATGGAAGCGCCATTACGAAGAACGAATTTCTTTTCAATGGAGAAAGATTCAAGTAGACACATGACGCTTGAAGGGGAACGCACCTGTGCTTACTCGACAGTCCAAAATTCTCGCGTTGCACTCACTGAACAGAAGGTGAATAAACTGCGTTTTGTTTCTGATCTAAATACAGCCACATGGACAGTGAATTGGGCAGGGATGACCAAAGGACGTTGGTCAGGTTTGAAACAAAGATCTACTGAATTGACAGATACTTCACATCCGAACTAGATGCGAAGAATCTGTAAACCCAGGATATCTGAAGAATTAAATCATATTAGTATTAGCTCTTAATAAGGAAATGCAAAATATTAATACTAAGATAGAGTTTGGTCAGAAAAGCCTAAAATAATATTACTTGAAGGTACATATACTAATTAATGTCATTGATATTAATCAGTTAATGCTGTTATTAATACGTATTATATTAGGATATTAGAGAATTAATTTTTTTTCAGAAAGTATAGGAAATCAATGTCAGTTAAATCTATATTGTGTCTGGGGCATGACGTAAAACTACACCGGACAATAAAGTTTCAACTCTGGACAGAGTTTACACAAATCATTTTTACCTACGGGTGATTTGTGACTGAGATTTTTTTTTTTTTAAGCATTTCACCCCAAGCAAGGCGGGAAGCCACTAGGACGCAAGGGATTACAGAAAACTTAGAACAAGATCAGATAGGAGTGATAGAAGAAAGGATGAGGGTAGTGGATAGATCAAGGCAACTAGAGATGTCGATTGACATTACACTTGAATAGCTGGAGATTATAGCCCACAGGGAAACAGGAGAAGGGAAGAGAGATCCACAGGCAAGAGGTGCGAGACATGAAGCTATTAGAGTAGAAGAGACGGCTACATTTAGGAGTTTCGACAGAAGTGGTGAGAGCGGGATGCCAGCCTCGTAGGGCGCTGGAACTCATAACGTCTGTGAACCAGCGAATGTAGCTCCTCGGAGCAATTGCCATGAAAGTATTTGTAAAACAGACAGAGGGCAACTGTTCGACGCCCCCTTACCGGAGCTACTGACTTTGGTGGGGTGGATTTTTATATATATAATGGGCACCTGGGGAGGATGTTACATTTTTTTTTATTGATTGGATGATTAATTTGAATGGAAATAAAAATTAGAGTGAGTAAATTCGGTCTCATGTGTGTGTTTGCGTGTATGTGAATGTAAATATCACAGTGAAGGGAAACAAAGATGGCTATTTGCAACTTCAAGCCGAGCGCGTCGCCATATTCCTTCCCAGGTCGAACTACTTACTGCGCATGCTTCCTTTTTTTATGGAAGAGCATAGATTACTGGTGAACCGGATGTTATCCGTCATTGGATAGTCAAGAGGCGTCGCATTGCGTAATTAAAAATGCGGGAAGTTGTAGCTGACATATTGCACACAAGTGACACGTGATCAGTATCGTCTGGTTCACCGTGGAGAGGAAGTATGATAATGAAAAAAACTCAAAAATCCTTAGGTTAAAATCATCACTGATAATGGGCGCCAAAACATCAAACAGACGTATTTCACGAAATGTTTATTATACATTTTACTACAGTTCCGGTGTATTAGGATAATATATTTTTGTAGTTTAAAGTATTTGCGTATTTCCCCGAAAGATTTTTGAAAAAAAAAACTCTTTTAAACCTCTTCATTTTTTAATGTTCTGCAAGTTATAGAATGGCCTAATGATCGAAACCTCCGAAAATCTGTAGGTTCCAAATCTGACGATTATGGAAGAAGCTACTATTTGCTACGCATTTATCAATGTAGGGTGATAGAAACAGGTCGTGGCGGTTCCCTGCTGTCCTGTTTGGTTTGGTTTACTTCTTTTTCCGGTATATCAACCTCAAGCCGACAAGATTTTCATGGCTGCTAATATTTTTTCATTTAACTATCTATATGTCGGTCTCAGTCTCTCTATCTATCTATCTCAGTACATATTGGTTTGCTTTGTTTTACGGCATATCAACCTCAATGGGTTATTTAATGCCGACAAGATTTTTATTGGTGCTAATATCTATCTATCTATCTATCTATCTATCTATCTATCTATCTATCTCAGTACATATTAGTTTGTTTTGTTTTACAGCATATCAACCTCAATGAGTTATTTAATGCCGACAAGATTTTTATTGCTAGTAGTATCTTTTTCAAAAAATGAATTACTGGTATTTTTTTCCAAAAACGTATTGCTGGTATTAAAACCTATTTTTATACTTTCATAGTGTTTTGACACAATTGAAGTGTTGCCTATTTGCCATATCTGGGGCCCTGACAGGTGCTACAACCCCGGTCAGAGTGGAACTAGGAACACAAGTAAATAAGAGGTATTTCCATGCACCTCAAAACCTCCTAATCAAATGCCTTGCTCTCTGATGTAGTTTATCGTTTTGCCCAGGGTGCAGATGTAGTTTATCGTCATACACAGGACAATCTGCAGAGAAGATACTGTTCTGTGACGTCCTGGTTCTTTGATGATGCTGGCTCAGCTTATAGGCAATGGAGAATTTTATTCAATATCTTCTTTCTTCGTTGGTTTTATTTGAGGTGACTAACCACTCTTTGTGGCGGATATTGGGGTGGATATTGAAGATAACTAAATCCAAAGCCCGACCCTTATCTAAGGTTTCATATGCAAGTTCAAAATTAACTGTTAACACCTTAGCGGTTGAAGCGAAAGCTATATTGATTATCTGACCGAAGGCCGTTATGAAGTGAGTTGCTTAACCAATTCAAAGTTGATTAAAATCTTTAGTACTTTGCCAGACTGACGCAAAAGGACGACAGTTCGAGGGATTAGAAAGTTCACCAGAATTCTTAATGACAGGAACTTCACAAAAAGATTTCCAACTCGGAAAACGTCAAGAAACCTCAAGGCAAATGTAATAGAGATTAAAGAGAATAGGAGACACTGCAGAATTACATTTCCTTTGGACAATTACAGCGATACTGTCAATCCTATATGCCTTGTGGGGATCAATTTTGTTAATGATAGTAGAAATCATGGACGTAGTTTAAAACATATCAATCAGTATAGATTCCGTCCAAGGTGGAAAATCAAGCTAAATAATATTCTAAGATTATAAAGTTGTCTAAGATATTTCTTTAATACGCAAGTACTTGCAACTGTACATTTAGTCATCTTCAGTCATGGAAATTATTTTGTTTTTGGTAAAATTCAGGTAGCATCCGAGATGAAAAACTAAATGCGAATCGAAATATTTTTTTTTTTTTTTTTTGAAATGTGTTATTCTTACCAGATACAAACTTTTGGAGCGTGCAGCTTATAAATTAAAAAAAAAAGGGGTAACATTCATTGAGTGATTTGTAGATTAATGCACCTTTAAAATTTTATTTTATGAAGGGATTTCGTCATTTTTTGTATCATTAAATTTATTAATCTACTTTTTGTATGAATGATTCATTGTAATATATATATATATATATATATATATATATATATATATATGTGTGTGTCTGTGTGTGTGTATATATATATATATATATATATATATATATATATATATATATATATATATGTATACATTGTAAGAGGCGTAAGATGATAGAAATTAAAAATGGTGATTTAAGAACATGAGGCATATTCCCCAATGGGTTCTTCAGTTCTTTCAGGTTATTTAGTTTTATGCCAATGCGATTGTCAACTGTCCAAAACTATGACTAATTGCCTGATAAACGCGACTGCGTTAAAATTAAGTAGAAGTCCGAACTTTATATATATATATATATATATATATATATATATATATATATATATATATATATATATATATATATAAGAAGGTTCGCGAGAAAAATCAGGAGTTATACATGGTGTTTGTGGACTTGACGAAGGCCTTTGACACTGTGAATCGAGAGGCTCTTTGGTAAGTCTTGAGGAAACTCGGCATCCCTGAAAACATGCGAAAGGTCATCATCTCCTTTCATGAAGGAATGAAAGCTAATATCGTGTCTGATGGGTATGATGTCGAAATCCTTTAATGTCACAAATGGCAACAAGCAATGTTGTGTCATGGCACCTGTCTTTTTTGCCCTTTTCTTCTCGGTGATGCTGAAATATGCATTTGCAGACACAGAGAGTGGCGTCAAGTTTCGGTTTCGAACAACTGGTGGTCTCTTCAATCATCAGCGCTTCAAAGCCAAGACCCACCTTCATACACAAATTATTCGGGATTTGTTGTTTGCTGATGATCCGGCTCTTGTAGCGACATCCTTTGAGGAGGCCCAACATCTAATCAATCGTTTCTCTGCTGCATATAAAGTATTTGGTCTGACACTTAGCATAAAGGAAACTGAAGTTCTGCACCAACCTTGTCCTACTCCGAAGCAATTGCGTCGTGAGAAACAAAAACCACCAGTCTACAAATTTCCAAATAGACCATTGAGAGTAGAATACAAACCCGTGAACTATGTAAAGTCTTTCACCTATCTTGGTAGCAAAGTCAATTACAGTGGAACTTTAGATGATTAAATCATGCATCGGATTGCTAAGGCTACCAGTGCTTTCGGCAAACTTCGACATCGCTTGTGGAATTAGCGGGGTATTCGACTGGATACGAAAATTCGGGTTTACAGAGCTGTTGTACTTGCCATGTATGGCTCAGAGTCATGGACTCCATACAGGTACCATATACGCCAGCTAGATGTTTCCATAAAAGCTGTCTGCGTGCAATCTGTGGAGTTAAGATTCAAGATAGGACATCTAACGTAGACCTGTTTAACAGATGTAATATTAGAGGAATCGAGACTTTTATCGTACAGTCTCAGTTACGGTGGACTGGTCATGTCTTGAGAATGTCTGATGACAGGATACCCATGATCCTAATGGACAGCCAGTTAGATCAGGGCTACAGGAATGTACGACGCCCATGGCTAAGTTACAAAGACAAGCTGAAAAACAAATTGTCAGCAGTTAATATACCACATAACACCCTTGAACGCTTAGCTTTGGAGCGGGTAGAATGGAGATCAGTTTTAGGGGACTCAGCAATTTTCAATCTGTTGTCTGAATCATCTTCAAGAAGTGAGAGCAAGATCTAAAAGGACAGCCAATCTAACAGTGATCTCATCTTACAATTCTCACACCTGCTCCATATGTGACCTCCTTTGTAAATCACTATCGGGTCTTAAATGCCACTTGAGATTATCGCATAAACTTTCATAACTGAATCAATAGGCTGACAGATCCTCATACGTCGAAAACGACGGAGAGTCCATTATATATATATATATATATATATATATATATATGTATATAATTATATATATATATATATATAATTATATATATATATATATATATATATATATATATAGAGAGAGAGAGAGAGATATTTAAGAGACGTAAGATAACGATAGAAAACGAAAATGGTATTTTAAGAACTTCATGCTTGTTCTCCAAAAGGCTATTCAGGGCTATCACTGATATGTTTGTCATAACTGACCTTCCGACTTGTTTAAAAATATCGAAACTATAAGCTATAGGCAGATGTTTTCTCAGAACAATTATTCAAAATGTCTTCCGACTGTTAAACGTACGAATCCTCTATATCAAAAAGAAGACAGAATTTCAACAGTTATCACAGAATGCCGGCACAGAATAATAATAATAAAAAAACAACAACAAAGAAATTTAAAATCTCATGAAGTCAATCAACAGCAGCAACAACCAAAATGGATAGAAAATGTAACCATAATAGAAAATGATCAAGATGTTGATATTCCATATTAATATTTAGCAGACGATAAATCATTTTGCTGGAAACGCCTGCAGGAAACACTCCGTCAGCACGGGTCACCACTTTTCAGGTTTGGGGCAGGCGTAACAAGAAATTAAAAACAAGTTTCATGCGTGATATCAACCTTTAAGGCAGTGATTCCCAAATTGTTTTCTCGGGGCCGCATTTTCGAAAGTAAAATTTTCTCGCGCCTCACCAAATTTCAAATGACGCGTCGCACTGTTTGCAAACCAATGCGTTAAGGGTTAGTTCTCTTTCTTTTCGCGTCAAAGTCGTGACAAGCCGCTAAAGCGAGCACTCCTTTCAATAGACGCGAATAGCGTTGACAGTACAACGCATATACTCTCTATTTCCTCAAAATATCATTTTTCCTTCGTTATTGACAGAGGTTGTTACAAAATGTTCCTTTAAATTTCCTTTAGACGAAAGATGTCCCCGATAGAATAAATATTTCTATCATGCCTTGTTATACTCTTTGTATGTCTATTTTTTTAACATTTTTTTTTATTTGTTCAACACACGAAACCTGACCTGGGAACAATCTTTTGGTGTGGGTAACAATGGATATATTTTTAACATCCTGTTTACTTTACACACGAAACAAAAGTTTTAAAAAGAGCGATAACAGCAAAGATGAGATGCCTATTTTTCTGACAAAGCCTTAAGAGAAAATATTGTAAATTACAAACATTTATAACGTAAATTCTTGAGAAATAAATGTTGAATGGACATTATTTGTGAAGTGGATCAGGTCAAAATCTTTTCCGCACCTCCATTAATAATGTGTGTGTATATGTTTGCGTGTATGCGTCTGTACTTGCCTGTATATATATATATATATATATATATATATATATATATATATATGTGTGTGTGTGTGTGTGTGTGTGTGTGTGTGTGTGTGTGCGTGTGTGTGAATTATGATTGAATTCTTCAAAGAGAGGAATATTTAGGAGATCTATTGCCAATCGATCTAATTTGAGAATACTTTGAATCTATGAATACTTTATATAAGCAAATATAGAAAAAGAAATAGGTAGGTTATTTCATTTAAATTTCAAATTAGATGTCAGAATAAGAAAGAAATCCCTCAGATAAGAGAAAATTTACCAAAATTTGAATGGTGTTTTGATTTTACATGAGCATTCTACAGGGAGCACTACATAAATCTCTCCATCTACATATCTATCAATCTATCTATCAAATACAAACACACACACATATGAGTGTGTGTGCGTGTGTGTGTTTTCAGATACACGCACAAAGACATGTAAATGCAAACACACACACACACACACACACACATATATATA